TCGGCAGCTGGCGGGCCGATAGTCACACACACCCAAACTATGTGTGATCGTACAATGTGTCTTTAAACTAACTATATGATAGCATGTCCTTCTCACTGAATTCCTTTTAAGGTACAGCCGTGCTGAGTTCGTTGGTAACTGTAGCTGCATTGATGTCTTAGCGAAGCCTGCTTCGTTACCGTTGAAAAGATTCTAATATTACAGAATGACTTCGATGTCGGTATGCATGCTGGGCAAGTGAATTTCCTCCGAAAAGCAGAACTTGAGCCGGGTACAGCTTACCGGTTCAGAATCGCAGGAATCAACTCAATTGGGCGAGGGAACTGGAGCGAAGTCTCGGCTTTCAAGGTAGCCATGTAATATGCTGTTTTTGGTTTACTGACTTTTTTTAGCTTTCTTCCCTGTGTAGTTGTTTTTATGACGATGTTTTCTAGACCTGCCTTCCTGGTTTCCCGGGTGCTCCTTCCTCTATCAAAATAACCAAGGGACAAGATGGTGCTCAGTTGACGTGGGAACCTCCACAAAATGTTGCAGGTATCGTACTTTGCTGTGAATCTCTCTAATGCTGCATACGTAGATGACTTACTGAAATATTCTTTTAAATGCTGGTCTATGTTGGTCTGCTAAAGAAGCTGAGTGTGTTGGCGAAATTACGTTCAATTTAAGGTCGCATTTCTGAATACAGTGTCTACTTGGCTGTTCGTAACACCTCAGGAACAAGCGACAACCAACTGGCATTCATGAGGTGGGTTTTAATCAAATCTGTCTGTAGCGGTAGTCTGTATGATCTGGTAAATGGAGTTTGCTGATCTTATTCCATGTGTAAGGGATTCGCTGATTATCCCTATCACCCCATATATATAATTCGCTTTGTCTGTTTGTTTGTTTGTAAGTTTGTAAGTTTGTCTGTCCGGAAATTCGGTTCGACCTGAAGAACGACTTGGAGAGGTCCAGTCAAGGTGGGGATAGGTAGGGCATGGGACAAGAAATAAAAAGCACACTTGACCTATGGCAAGCCCCGCCCACAGTGGGCGGGCACTCGCCGAAAGTTTGGGGTTCCGCAGAAAATGTTCATAATTCGCTTCCGGAGCAGCTTAAAGATGGGGAAAAAGGGACTAAGGTTAGTAAGGAGTCGCCAGACTAACTGTGGCAGGTACACCCTAAATGGGCGGGGCGTACTCAAGGTGGGCGGTCTCTCGCAAAATTCAGTAACCCGGTTCGCGTGTGTTTGGAAGTCGCAAAAAACTGCAGTGTAAATTAAAATATCTGGCGAATATAGGGCACGCTCAAAGTGTGTTGAGACCCGCCCACAGTGGGCGGAGCTTGCCCTAAATCGCAGGGTATTCATTTTAAAAGTTTGTAGCTCGGTTCCAGAACACTCCAGATACCGGAAAAAAGTGATTAAGTTCAGCAGAGGGTCGTCGGTTAAGATTGTGGGGCAAAAAAATTGTGGGCGGAGCTCTGCCTCCGAGGTGGGCGGAGCCAGACAAAAGGGTCTGTAAAACGGTTCCAGAACACTCCAGACACCGGAAAAAAGTGGATTAAGTTCAGCAGAGGGTCGTCGGTGAAGAATGTGGGGCGCAAAAAAAAAGTGGGGGCGGAGTCTGCCTCGAGATGGGCGGAGCCGGACAAATTTCTCTAGAACGGTTCCAGAACACACCACACACCGGAAGAAAAAAGTGGATTAAGGTCAGCAGAGGGTCGTCGGTGAGGATTGTGGGGCAAAAACATTGTGGGCGGAGCCTGCTCCGAGGTGGGCGGAGCCAGACAAAAGGTCTGTAAAACGGTTCCAGAGCACTCCGAAGACCGGAATAAAGTGAATTCAGGTCAGCAAGGGGTCGCCGATTGAGAAATGTGGGGTATACATATGTGGGCGGGGCCAGCCCGAGGTGGGCGGAGCCAGACGAAAGTTCTCTAAAACTGTCCACAGAGACTTCCAAAGACGGAAAAAACGTGATTGAATGGTCAGTAGAGGTCGCCGGCGTGAGGTGTTTGGCACAAACATTGTGGGCGGGGCCTGCTCCGAGGTGGGCGGAGTCAGACGAAGAATCTGTAAAATAGCTCAAGAGTACTTCAGACACCGGAAAAAAGTGGAGTACAGAACAAAAGGCGGATATCAGTTGAGTCTAGAAATATGTGAAAGAAAATACGCGCGGCGAAGCCGCGATCGTATCCAAAAGGAGCCGGCCGGTGTTGCCGGGCGCAGGCCGACTGGTATACAATAGCTGAGATATAAAGACGCAACGCGTTATGCCTGAGCGTGCATAGAGCGCACTGTTACCTCTAACGCTACAGACTTTTGTTCTTTTTCTCATTTACTGGCTGTCTCCCCTGTTGCCGTTATATGATGTGTTAGTGCCAGTAAGCATGTGTTAAAACTGAAAGATTATCCATTCACAAAAAAAAAGGTGAAAAAATCCCCTGGCTATGCCGAAGCAAGTACCGCGCGTTGTCGCTTGCGTCGGTGTCACCCCTAACAAATGCGCCTAATCTAAGAATAAAACAATATTCCACGCTTTTTTTTGTCTTCCGGAAGTTCAGTTCTAGTGGATGGCATTTTGAAGAGGATGGGTTATGTTGGGTGATGGTTTCTGCAGGGCAAAAGGTGTACACATGGAACATGGAACGCAAAAAAAATCAAAGAACCGCCACTGTGGGCCGGCGTGCTCCGGGAGTGAGCCGTGTCAAAAATGAAAATTCGCTATACATTTGCAGAACAGCTCACAGACTAGGAAAATGGATAAAGGCTAGCAATGGGTAGAGGAATGAAATAAGACAGACACATTCGCAGTGGGCAAGGTGTGTCAGGATAGTCGGTACTTGCTACAAAATTTGATAACTTGGACCTCGAGAAAGACTAGAGATCAAAAAAATGGTGAAGTAGAGGAGCATCTTCTACGGTGGTCCGATGGGAATGGTTATATTGTGTAGTGAATCTGGTGTTTTAGGAGGAAATGTTTAGTTTTTCTAAATATTGAGTCGAGACGAATCGATGAACATCCAGCTTTCAGCGCAATTTGGCTTGATGGGGCGTTCTGTAGGTCCTCATTGATCACTGCCAATGCTTTCCGTGAAGACCTGACGTGAATTTCTGTAAATGCTATGCAGCAGCATGAGCTTCGTTTACGCTTGACTAGGGTCTATGGTGAGACATGTAGTTGGATAGGAGCAAAAGGAGGAAAGAACGAGCAAAAGAAATCAGTGAAAGTGCAGAATGCCCTCCCCCTTCCCTAAAACGCACAGTACGCTGTTTGTTGTGGGGAAATATCAAATGAGTTTTTTTCTTTACATTCTACGTACTTCATTTCATCATTATTTAACTATTAAAACATTGATGATAGGTGAGCAAAATCATTTTTAAAAGCAGATTCATTTGTAGGGTGTACGTTGGAGTTGATCCGGAATGTATCGTCAACCAATCTAGTCTGGCTGCAGCTTTTGTTGATCAGAGCGCAAACCCGCTATCATCTTCAGGATTGCTGCAAGAAATGAAAAGGTAGTGCAGGATTCTACTGTCTAGTTCGCTGCGGACGAAGGGGCGTGTCAGGCGGGGCGCGGTGCGATCCCGTCCTCGTCCACCCTCCACCTTGTTGCTTGCCGAAAGGAAAAAAAATGATATTGAACGGCACCAAATCCATCTGCCCATCATCGCCGTCATCCGCAGCGAACAAGACTATATATTTGTTTTCGCCAACACAGCTTTTCCTGCCAAGAAAAAACCTATGAGTCAACTTTATAGGGCTATGGACCAGCCACTCAAGTACGGTGGCTCCAAGATCAAAAGCCCATTATGGCTCCGACGATTACTGCACCAAATGCTGCAGCACGATATCCTGTTGGCTACTATTCTCAACCGAAACGACATCGTTTGGATCCATTATGAGTAGTATTTGGTGATTTGTTGTTGTTTGATGTTATGGACTTTTCAGTTCTTGTTATGTTTATATATTACTACTTTGAGCACTTTGTGAAGTTTGTCTCAGATGATATGGGGAGGGGGTACAAATTCAGCATAATAATCGTAACATATCGCGCTGTTGGGCGTGTCGCGCGGTCACAGACTCGTCGTTTAGGACAGTTATCGTGCATGGCCTTTTGCTTTTAAGTGTAATTAGAATGGAAAATTTCGATAGAGCACAGAGTCGTGTTGTGGCTTGCAGTTCATAGGAGTCTCCCTGCTCCGATCGACAAATAAAGCATATCAAGAAGTTGCCTTGCATCCTCCCATGTTACGTCGCGCGCGACGACGCGACAAACTACGATAGTCCGTCTCCCCTACCGGCGTGGTCGCGGACTCGTCGTGTTAGGTTCGGGGTAACAATTTCTGTGTTATAGTGTTGAAGTACATATGCATGTTCAGGGCGCAGTATGGCTTGATGGGGTATTTCTGGTTTCGTTCGATCATGCCGGTGCCTCCAGTGGGAACCTGTAATCTCCGGTAAAGCTAAGCAGTAACAGTAGCTTACTCCTGTCAAGAGTCCACAAGCCTCACCAAGGGCTAACGTGTAATTTAACAGGAACAGCGAAAGTGCGAAATACCCCTCCTAAGCCGAAGAGCACCCATATTCAGCACTGAATGCTTTATGGTGGGGGATTTGAATGGTTTTTTGGGTCCTATGTGCGAGGTACTCGTAGCATGACTTGAAGAAGATCTTATACTCCTTTTTCGAAGACGCTAGGGTTGAAAAAGAGCTCGTTAAAGAGCTGAACCATTTCAAAATAAGAGAGTATCCCATTTTTCGGAAATGTTAAGCGGGGAGAGGGGCAAGACAATCGGAATTTGTCGCATTGTCGCGCGCGGCGTATCGTGCGGCCATGCGCGGCAAACTCTCGATCTCTATTATGTCTGTGGACTGAAGCAGCGATACCCATGTGGTAGGAAGCGGAGACAAGGCTCCATTACGAGCGATTATCAAACTTGTTGTCTCTTCAACACACAAATTGAAACCGGCCAGGCCGCACAAGTCGTCCGTCAGGCGTGGCACCGCTCGCCATGTCCACCAGCGCGGCACATTACGATTGTCTTGTCGCATACCCTACGCGCAGTCGTCTTTGGTGGTATGTGACGTAGTAACAGTTGGGGAGTGAAGCATGGAACACATCGTGCAGTCCATACCTTGGCATGACGCAGAATCACAGAATAGCTCGAGAAATAACGGCGGTACCCAGGAATCTCCACCTCACTCCTAGATGCTCTAGTATTGTCCGTGCATTACGCTGTTTTGTCGTAGCGAGACACTGCATGTTTAGTTCGTATCGCAGGACCGTTAGAGTGTTGATGCTTCCGAAAAGGGACGTCGACAGCTTGTGTACAGTGGAGCGCTCACCGGACGGTGGGGCGTTCCCTACGACCACGCTGGCGAGCGTTCCGGTGATTGCGTGTCGATGGAAAGCCGAAAACTTTCAGGAGATTATCATCATTGCCTCTCCGTCT